ATATATATATATTCTACTGCAGACCTGTATTAATTTGGTGTCGTTTTTGCCATGTCTAAGTTACATGGTGTCTCGTATTTTCATAAAATTGAGAATTAGAAGCTCAGTGACGACAGGAAGCGCTCTAGCTGGAGAACTTGAATTGATGAATGAGTCAAAAGAAAATTTCAATATTTTAGTCAAATGCATGTGCAGTGGTACTTCAGTTCATGAACTCTTTTGTTTGGGAGCAATTTTGTTTGCAAACAGAAGGGTTTGCCAAAATTTTGTTTTTGTTTGCAAACTCTGCATCGGGTGACGAACACAACCATGGCCATGTTTTCCATAATCGTGGAAATAATTCATTCCACATTTCCCAAAGTGAGGCCCTGCTGCATTACAGGGCAGTTGTCACTGCACGCTTGATACGGAGAGGCCGATATATTGTTAATACTTTCCCTTTGACTTGTCTATATTAAATATGCATGCATTTCAATTTCAGTTTTTTCATAATATTGTAATATCCTTACCATATCTTTTGAAAAGGTAATTATAATGTACATAAAAGATAATTCAGTTAAAAGGAGAAGGTCCTGAGCAAATGCTTAAGAGGGATTCTCACACAAGCATGGATAGTTATCTGTGCAGAGTTCCTACTGTATGCATTTTAATTAAAGAAAAACAAAAAAGCAGTAGAAAGACTGTAGGTAATGTGATATGAGCCATTTAATGGGAAATTAAGCTATTAGTCCAAAAGTGTTAAGTAATATTTCAAGTTTTAGAGAACTTACAGTGAATATGTGTTGATTTTACCCTTATGGCATTATAATTCCTCCTGCAGGTACAAATGGGACTTTTCTCAATCCATGTAATCTACATTGGTTGTACCCCAAACCCCAAACTCTAGCAATACTGTAGAGGCTACTTAAACTTAAATTACTTAAAATTTAAAATTTAATTTCTCAAATTAGGTACATATCAACTGATCAATAGCTACACCTGACTAGTAGATACCATAGTGGATTATAGATCCCCTCCATCATAGAAAGATCTCTGAGTTTCATTAATTCAGTAGATCCCATGACTGACCATAGTGATTACTCAGGCAAGGGAGGGGAATACAATTCAATTCCACTGAATAAGATCCAGGCTCAGGACTCTTGTTAAATGCGGAGGGAGAGACATTCTCATGACTCTACTGAAAGGAAAGAGAGGAGATGGGAGATACTACTGTCTCCATGAAGGTCAAGTCTGATGAGAATAAATACTTCATAAAGGCAAAGTACCTACATACTGGAAGAAACCACACTCTAATCTTTTCTTCTCTTTTCTTTTTTTCTCTTTCTTTCTTTTCTTCTTGTCTTTGAACCAACAGCATTTAAAGACTACCTGTAGAATTTTAAGTTATAAATGCCCAGATCTTCTCAAGTTTACAAAACAATTTGAGTCTGTTCTGTTTTTCTCAGGTACGACTGAAGCAGTACTGACTCACATATAGAACTTAAGGGGAAAGACCAAAAAGCATCATGGCCCCCTCTCTCTTACCACCATCAGTTCAGAAAAGTGCAAGACGTTCAGTCAAAATTTGCTTCCAATTCAGAGGTAAGAGCGATACATGATTATATAGACAAACATGCTATTTTTTTAGCAAAACTAAATGATAAAATTTGATTCGATTATTTTTTGAAAAGCTGTTATCAAAATCATTACGATTTATATAAATGATAGCCCTTTGAATCTTTTAGTATGATACTTTTCTATATTAATCTATACAACTTGGGGTGGACAGTACATTTTTCCCAACTTTGCAAGAATCATAAATTCTCCAAATTTGCTTTATTGATTCATAGGTCCTGCATGATCTTTTCTTGTATGGCTTGAAGTAGCTCATGGTTGATTTTGGCATAGCGTGCTTCCATCTAATAGTTGCAATAATTTTTTTTTATATGGAGTAGCACTCCTTGTAATGACATCAACTGGAATCTGAACATCACTAAAATTTAGAAATATCACATTTCGCTTCTATTTTCTCTTGTTTCTCATCTCTAATTCTGTATCTGCTGTGAACTACTTTGATGGTTAGAAGGAGTAGCTGAAAGAATTGGGAAAATGTGAAGAAAATGTAAAGATTCAGCTTGCTAACATTAAATAAAGAATGCTTTAATTTCAGTGCAGGCTTTTTCAGCGACTTTTATTTTATTTAATTTGTGTTTGGCTTTTTTTTTTTCTTTTTTTTTTTTTTGAGACAGGGTCTTACTATTTAGTTCAGGCTGGCCTTGAACTTGCAGGAATCCTCCCGCCTCAGACTTCCAACTGCTAGGATTATAGGCTCATGCCACCATTCCTGGCTCTCAGCTACTTTTACAAGACATCAATAATACAGCTAGGAAATCATTTGTACCCTAAGTTAAGATGCGTTCTCCACCTTCAGCAGCCACTTGTGTAGGCTTTCATAATATTTGTGTAATAAGATATAGTCAACAAAAGTGAAGGAAAGAAATTTGTTTGCAAACACGGAAACAAACATGGAAGTGGGCTGGAACACCTGAACAAGTTTTCTAACATGGTTAACCAAATCTTCTTTTCTCTCATCTAACATTCTTTCCATATGCGACGGCAGGTAGAACACAGCCCCCTAGCAGAGAGATTCCCTCTGGAATCAGTGGGAGACGCTCAAAAACACTTTGAGCCAACTGCTGACAATGATCAGGAAAAAAAAAAAAAAAGTGAACTTCACTAGCGTTTGGGCTGTGCACAAAGAGCCATCACATTCCAGACTTAGGGGATGATATATGATGCACCTGGAGAAGCACATTCGGTTTGGATAAACTCAATTCCAGAAATATGTGGAAGATTGGAGAGAGTTAAGAGAAAATTTTTAAAATGATGAAATGACTGGGGAGGTGAAGTTGGGAAGAGGGATTGGAAGGAAAGATTAAGGCAACTGACGAAGTAACTCTTAATGTTTGATGTGATAAGAGCCAGCAAATATTTTAAAATAGTACATACAATAGAGACAGAAATTGTTTGGGGTGGCAAAACAGAAGAAGAAGCCCAAGGAAGTTAACTTTCCAGTTATGCATGGGAGGAAGTGAAAAAATGAAAAGGGAAAGGTAACTTTTGGAGTATACTTGAGTATTAGAAAGCTTGAATTCAAGGCAAATTTACTACTAAACACAAAGAGAGCCACGGGTGTTGGAAGAAAATGATTTTTAAGGAATGGGCAGTAGATAATGCTGCAGACATTCCTCCCTGCTTAATATTTCCATAAATCTATTACAATATGAAATCCTAATTTATGTTGAACCTGCCATACAGCGAGGTTTAAACCGAAGTTTAAGGAACCTATTATTACACAGTTTGCCCAGGGATCTACAACTATCACGGGGGAGAAAAGTGTTTTTTATCTGCAGTTTTCCAAAAACAATTCAATTAAAAATAATAAAAAATCTGAAATCCTGCCTATAAGGGTTAATAACTACAGAGGTGCCCAACAGATATTCAATCACAAAAATTTGAATGCTCTTTTCATTAAGCCTCGGGTGCCTTTTTTCCACAGCTGAACCAAGATAATTGTTTTGGGGCTAATTTCTGAGGCTATTTAATAACACCTCCTGCTAGACTCCTCGTGTAAACTCAGCAAGAGGAAGCATCCAAAGTAATAGAAAAATACTTCTGCTCATTTTCTGGCTCCGATTCATAGTTTTCTTTACAAAAGAGAGCCTGCTGTTTGAGCACGGCGACTGCCATACCCACTGTATTGGGGAAGATTGGATTAGGAGGCAAAGCTGACGTTGCAGTAAAGTCCCTACTCTCCGGCAGGATTTTTATGTAAATTCCATTATAGCTCATACTTTTTCAGACAATGAAATGGATACAAAACACTTCAAGGTTTCTAAGTCAGCAAAATAATGAACAAGACAGCCCATAAAATGCTTTAATACATTTTTGACATTTGCTCATTCATATAAATGGGCTTTGTATTTCTTCTTCTTTCACAGAGTTTTTTTTTTTTTTTTTTAATGCTACATTCTAACAGCTCATAGCTCTACAGGTTATTACTAAGGTGTGAACATAAGCTACAAAAGTTCATCACACTTTAAATTTCAGTAAGTGGCATATTTTGCATTACGTCTCCTTAAGAAAACATGGACAATCTTTTCCTCAAAGCTGCCATTCTTTCAGATTGAAAAAAGAAGTGCACATACCCAGAGCACTAATGGCAGTGCCACAGAGGTGTGCTTTTGTAATCAACTAACCACAGAATTAAAATTATGTAGATTGACCTGTAATTATTCTTTTAAGTAATTTGTGATGACATGTAAGGTAAAAGTATGTTTTTAAAAGACTGGTCCCTGGGGACAATGAATTTTCAGGTTCGCAAATGGATCTTTCTCAGCAATTGTCAATGAGTATAACAGAAACAGTCAAGGAAAATATGTTGCAGTGCAATGTTTAAATGCGTTTCTTTCCTTCTGCTATTGTCATTTTAGTGCCATATATTGTCTTGTGCTTGAAGATGAAATTCCCATTAATGTCAATGGAGAATCCAGGCACGGGGCAAAGGAAACTCAAGACTTTGGCAACAGTGACACAATTCTCCCAGTGAAGGAAGAATGTGAATAAAGTATGAATTTCAAATAGAAAGTATTCTGGTGATCCATTATCCCATCAGCGTAGTTGAACTTTTCAGGGATATATGCTCATCTTTATTCTGAAATGACTAACACACATGTAATATTCCCTTTGGTATGTTTAATAATTTTAGCCAAAACAGGAAGCCTATTGATATTTCACCTCATTGCCAAATCAAACAAGATTAGTCATATGAACTGTGTCTCACTGATAGATGAATTTTGATGGTGAAATGTCAAAATGTGACGCATGGCTTTTGACTTGTAGTTGGTCTTTTGGGAACCATGTTGTGGCTCTTTCCAAAGAGGAGCCCAGCCTGGGGTTCCTGTAAACATATGCAGAAAATCGTATAGAACAGGCTTATAAATTTTGCATTCTGGAAGGCTTCCTTCTCATGGAGCTCCCCACTACACGCAAGCATTCTAGACGCAGATGTCTCTGGCCCTCGCCTTAGGAAGGCCTGATGACTTAGAGAGTCAGCAAGAAGAGAAAACAGAGATGATATGACTGACCAGGGCAATGGAGCAAAAGGTTTGCATTTAGTAACAAAGAAAATCGTCCTTCCTCAGGCTTTTGCTGATTGCTTTCCATGTGTTGTCCGAAGTAAGCCTCCTGACAGTCTTGTGAAGTAGGTCTATTGTCATCCTCTCATTGATGAGAAAACCACGGATCAGAAATGTTGGGCCTTTTTCTGAAGGTAAAATTTTGTGTAGTGGAGTTGGACATGAACCATCATTCTTAATCACTTTAAATACTGCCCTTACCTTCAGTCTTCCTCATTTCTACCACAAAAAAGTAATTTACTTTCTCTGCATACTTTTGGGGGTATATATGATCATTTTTAACTTTGCCCTTTTATCTGCTTTAGGCCAGTTCCATTAAGGTTTTTGATTCTCATGTTGCTGTTTTTAGGGGATTGTATGAGCCTCACAAATCACAGTTAGTTATACTGCTTTAATTCCCACTAAGAGATTTTTATTCAAAGGGGTAGACCACACGGGGAAGAGAAAATAGAGATTCCTGTTTGTTGTTGTTTCAGATTCTAACAGTAACAAAATTTAGGTGCTGGGGATACAACTATTTTGCCAATAAAATAACAGCAGACAATGAAAGCAGTGTGTCAGACACCAACTAGCTTTGTGTATAGGAAACTTTCTGCTCAGGGAGGACTGGAAACTAAGTAGGGTATTAAAATGACCACTTCATAAATCATGAAACAGACCTGAGATGACCCAAGGAACACGCTCAAGACTGCAGTATCTGTAGCAGAACTGTTCCAGCACAGGCCTTTGGGCGGCCAGGACTTTGCTTTTCCCTGCACCACAAGCCTGTCGTATCTAGCGATAGGAACTGTTTATTTAAAGCTAGAAATAAACTTTGAGGATCTTGGTCATTGTGCCAGAGACCAAATGAATGCTGTTACTACAAAAATATAGTAATATGAATGCCTTTCTTTCATCCTTTCTATCACTTGTATGTTTGTTCTCTTGGCCCCTTCTCCATTTTTATATAAAGTGATACTAAACATTTCAGTCCCTTGGGCAAGTATGATGCTATGAGGCTTCCAAGGGAAGAAGCGCACCACCCCTAATTTTAGCATTTGCCAAGCTTACAGGTGCCCGTGGGAACAGAGCACCTTGCCTTTCTTGATCTGGTTGGCCTCAAAACCTCAGCTATTAATTATAATACCAGGTTGTACTCATGTTTACAGTGGACCAAAGAACTCTACTTCCTTTGACTTCCGTTTCTTGTTAAGCTCTGTGTCCTGGGTCCCAAAAGAGACAATTAAAAAAGAACCCATAATAAGGCATAGCCCATTCCTGAGCAGTTGGCAATTTGACATGTATGCAGGTCCAAATTTGTCTCTGTGATATCCTTTTGAAGGTAGGCTTGTGGGGAGTACCACGCACGTCGTGTTGCATTAAGTGCTCAGCATACTCTTTCTCGGTGCTTAACATAAGAACTCTCATATTCATCCAAGAAAAAACCTTTCTTTTCTTATGTCCAGCCAAGTGAAAAGATTCATTAGGATGATTTGAAAGGTTGTAAGGTGACTTTAAGCCAAAAACAAAATAAAACTAATATAACACTCACGCATAACATAAAGTATCACAGTAGCAAAATACACTATTTGAGCTATTGCTGTTTCTCTTGATTAGACCTAATGTTTGTTCAAAGCTATTACATATTATGTCACTCAAGATTACATATATATATATAGATATATATATGTCTTTTTAGAATAATAATAATAAAAAAAGAAAAACCCATCTGTCTATGAACAAATGCAACTTTTCCCTGGACTTTTAAGAGGCCTCTCTGGTTGAAAGCTTATAACACTGATTTACCAAAAAAGAGAAAAAAAAAATGTTTTACTAAGTTAGCTTCCTCTAGAAAATAAATCTGGATTTGATCAGGAGCAGCCAAAGCAAGAAGCAATGAAATCCAAAAATAATATCACAAACAGCTTAAGTCAATTAGCTTTATGTAAATCTACTGAAGAGGAAAAAAATTAGAGCAAAAAGAAAAACTGAACAAAGCAGGTTAAAATCTGGGAGGAGAGAATTTTTGTCATCAAAGCAAAAGAAACAAAAGAATTCTTTTACTGTACAGAAATCAAAACTATGATACATTGGAACAGAAGCAGCTATAAAAGAAAAACAACATGTCTAAACTTGTACTTGGATCAAGGTGGAGGAGCTATCTTTCACAATTATATAAAACTGTCTGAAATTATTGCTACCGAATTACGTTGTGCTTCTGAAATAGGAAGTGCCCGTGTATGTAACAAACTTTTCAGAATTTCTCCCCCAGTCGGTAAGTTACACCATTGCCACCACAGAGCCACATTCATTAACTTCTAACAATGAATTAGAATTTTCTAAACCTTCTTTATCCCCTTTAGAATTTTGTGCCAGACATCTGGTTTCATTGTATACACAAATTTATCAAAAATGACACAGATCTCTTACTCTATGATGTCATTTTTAAAATCGCTAGGAAAAATTATTTTTAATTTTAAGGGCATTCCCCCTTCATTCTGTAAGTTTACTTATAAAATGATTAGTCAATATTTTAAAACAAAAAATATGTAGGTACATTTATTTTTAAAAAGTTTATATCATTCAGCTCTTATCTTGGCCTAATAACAATATACAGTAAGTCCCCAACTTATGAACAAGTTCTGTTCCCGAAGAACATTTGTAAATCAGATTCATTCATAATTCAACAGAGTGAGTCTTATACAGGACACGTGTGAATCTTATATACCTGTAAATTCGCAACTCAAATGTTCGTAAGTCAGGGACTTACTGTAGTCCTTGGATCGTTGTTGTCCAGGGACATCCCAATTTATATCTCCAGCACTGGAATCATACTAAAAAATTATGACTCAATCTCCATTTTAACATTCAAAAGTCTGCAAGTTTCGGCAATAACATATAGTGACCTCTACCTAGTATCAAGGCAGCATGGAAAGATCTAAGGCTTTTCACGTCCATCGGGGTCTGTGCATATTTCCTCCTTTACTTACTGAGTAAACGTGCGTAATTACTTATCCACTCTGAGCCCAATTTTGTCATCAGCAGCATACGGATAATGACTTGTTGACATAACATAAATGTTGACATAACATAAATGCAATAGTACTACGTCTGGGTTCATACACAAATGGGGATAATAATATCACCCTCTAAGATTGCTGTGCAGTTTCCTTAAGATAATGAAGGTATTCGTAGTTAACAGCACACAGTAGATATTCAGAAATACCATTTTTGGTGCTCATTCTCATCATCGTGATCATCACTGGCTGGTGGTGACTGCAGATATTAGAGTTAACTGCTTCTTCCCTTCTAATCTCACCTCTTCTATTTCACAGATATTCCGTCTGTGGAAGATGCTTAAAAATTCTCTTGTTATCCACAACAATTTGGGGCTGGTGGCACTTTTATACTGCCTTGAACAGTAAGTGGACAGCATTTGGTCCAGTGACTATGGAAAACATGTTGGCTTGTTTGATATAAGGATGCATGTCTCAGAGTACACCTCAGAAATCCTCTCGATGTCAATGTACAATCCCAGCAATGACCTTCTTCTACTCCTGGGCACTCTGGGGGAATACTTCTCTCCCACAGGAAAATTTCATCTTCAAGTGGTTTCCAATCTATGTCACTATGCTTTGAAATTTTAAAAAATATTTTAAGGATCTAACTTCCCAGGGAAATTGGTGCTTCTGTTGAGATAGGCAGTGTGTGTCCTGAGACTTCTTTTACTCCAATATACCTCTCCCTGCTCCCTAATTCATTGCATATACTCGACTGCAGTGGTGGGAAACTTATGGCATGCCTGTTGTTTTTAAGACCAAAGATATTAATGCTTGAGTTGCTTTTTCTAAACTAAAACCTCAGTATTCAGGTTGAATTTCAGTATTGGCACTTTACAGTTAATAAGTGGGTTTTGGGTTGCAGCTTGGGCACTTGTCTCTAAAAGGTTTGCCATGCCTCTGCCTAAGCAAGTGCAGTAAGTTCCTAGTTAGACACAGCTAGTCTGGAAGCCAGATGCATCTTATGCACTCTGTAACTTTGTGATATATCATTTAACGTCTCTGAATCAGTCATTCGGTCTTAAAAATGGGAATGCTATAATACTTATCAAATGTATTTATAATTAAATTCGATAATATCTGTAAGAACACCAAGGCCACATATTAGGAATTCAATTGATGTGAGTTATTTCACTTTCTCTAAATATTATGAAAATGGCCAATAACATGTAGCTCAATCACATTGCTGAGAACTACTCTGAGTTTGTTTCTATGGGGACATAAAGCCCAAAGGGACATAAAATAGATGACATCTGGCTCACCACATAAAAATGTCGGTCCATACAATGTGAAATCTCATGCAACTCTCCAGGTCCTCACTTCCAAATTCCTATCGTAACTCAAACTTGAGTGGTAATAGTTTATTAATGTCCTTGTTTTTTG